CATAAGTCACAGAGCACTCGAACTTTCCACAAAATAAACAAACACAAACAAACAAAACAAACAAACTCTTAATCTAAATATAACAAACAGAAGAACGAACGGTTAAACTGTATCAAAACCGAAATTAAACAAACTACGAACTTTTATGCCGTCACGCGGAGTGAACATCACTCGAAGGCAACATGATTGGAAGGTATCTTGTTTTATTTTGGGTAAATAACATTACCTAATATCATACCCTTTTAACATATTCTCTATCTTCCATCACTGTGCTACACCTCACCCTCTAACTAGGTTGCATTCAACCAGTCAAGCGCGAAATGTTGTAAACTTGTAACAAGTTTTGGGCGGATGTGCTGGATTTATGACTGGAGTGGAGAGATTTAAGCCTGGGTGGATGGCCAGAGTGACGACTCCAGTCACGACTGGATTCGTGACTGGAGTGAAGACTGGGCGAATGACTGGAGTCATGGCTATGCGCACGACTGGATTGAAGAACAGACGCACGACTGGGTAGAGGACTGCAATGATATTTTCAACTGCAGTTAATGATAATTATCGACCATTAACGTCGGCAGTGTTAGGCACAAAGTGAACGTCTGCACTCCCGCCAACTCGAGCCGCCATCTTGCATCTCACAGCACCAGTCTTCTCCACGCAGATGCTCACTAGATGGCGCTCTCCCCGGTCCGGTTCCCGGTGGCGCCATCTACGGCTTCGGCTTTTCCACGCAGGGATTTCCTCGCCGATCCTTTCGGCGCCGGATCCTGCTCGCGGTGAACCGCGGGTCGAGTGCACCGACGACCTCGCCATGGCCTTGACCCCTGACCTCGCAGAGACGCACGCCGGCGACGGACGTGCGGGTGGTCGTCATCGACGACGAGGGACTCGCGGACTTGGTCGGAGACGCGGGTGGGTTGGCAGGTGGCGCCGGTGGAGGGCGAGGTTCGCTGCGGGATGGTGCGCGCCGGGATCGTGTGCGGCCGGACCGTGCCACAACCTGCGAGATACGAGACGCGAGGTGAGACGCGCTAACTGCTAGACATGATACGCGAGGCATGAGACATGAGGTGTGAGATGCGAGATAATGAGACACACGAACCGCGCTAAGACATGAGACATGAGGTTGTGAGACACGAGATGTGATACATGTGAAACTGCTAGAGATGAGACATGAGGTGTGAGACGAGATGTGATACATGTGAAACTGCTAGAGATGAGACATGAGGTGTGAGACACGAGATGTGAGACATGTGAAACTGCTAGAGATCAGGCACGAGGTGTGAGACACGAGATGTGAGACATGTGAAACTGCTAGAGATGAGGCAGAGGTGGGTGAGGTGTGAGACACTAGGTGTGAGGTGTGAGACACGAGGTGAGACATGTGAAACTGCTAGAGATCAGGCACGAGGTGTGAGACACGAGATACGAGACATGTGAAACTGCTAGAGACGAGACGCAAGGAATGAGACACGAGGCATGAGGTGTGAGACACAATATGTGAGAAGTGAGATGTGTGAACCACTAGACACGCGCCATGAGGTGTGAGACAGGAAACAAGATAGGCGAGACCTGAGGCACATGAGATGTAAGACAAGTAACATCAGGGGTTAATAACGAGAAAATTGTTATCATAATTTCGGTGTTTATAATTGTTAATAATGTAACGTTGAATTAATGTTGTAGAAATGATGAAGAAGGAACTGGGTAGAGGAGGACAAGCCCAGGGAGGAGGATATTATGGTGGAGAGGAAACTAACTTGGATGAGGAACCAGGGGTAGAGGAGAAGCTCTGCGCGACGCCCTCAGCCAGGGTGAACTGTTCACGCCGATCCAGGTTCGTGCGACCCTTCGCTAAAAACATGAGAACGAGAAACGTAAAAGTCGCACGCCAAAGCAAGAGGGGCAGCTGCGCAAATTCGTGTGGCACCGAGGAAAAAAAAGCGATGGAGAAAAACAGGAGTGTGGTTTATCGTTTATTCGTATAAACCGGAGAACAAGAACAGTACGCACATCGCAACAAATCGGTTACTCAGTTACCCCTCATACACAAACATGGCGGACACAGTAGTTTATAGTACCCTCAATACACAAACATGGCGACACGTAGTTATAGTTACCCCCTCATACACCAAACATGGCGGCGGACACGTAGTTATAGTTACCCCTCATCACACAAACATGGCGGACACGTTAGTTATAGTTACCGACACCCTCATACACAAACATGGCGGACACGTAGTTTATAGTACCCCCCTCATACCACAAACATGGCGGACACGTATTTATAGTCTACCTGGACCCTCATGCACCAAACATAGGCGACACGTAGTTATAGTTACCGCCCTGCATGACACAAACATGGCGGACACGTAGTTAGCAGTTATGCCACCGTAAATCAAAAATGGCTGATGCAAGGTTTTTAATAGATACCTGCTGTAAACAAACATGGCGGACACACGGTCCATAATTCTGATTGTAAACAAACATGGCCAATAGCATGGACATATATTCCTCCTCTCATTAACAGACATGGCCGAAACAAACATGGTATTGCTCGCACACGGATCGTTCTTGACCAGGAGACATTGTCGCAGCGGCTTCTCAACCGCGGCAACAATTCGACCCAATCCACCGTGCTTGCGCAGAAATTCTCATCAAGGCGGAGCCTTCTTTGAGAGTCACCTAACTGGCAACAGACGCCAAGCCAGACGACGGTTAGTTTTCTAAATCGCGTCAATTAACAGTTCGTTAATTGCTTGATAATCGATGGCGGTATTCACGAATAGGTTTTACAACCCGTTGGACGTCTTCCGGTTCTCGGAGGGAGAGAACAACTGAGCGCGTAGAAAAAGGTAACGACGCACTCACGAAACAGCAACGCCACACGTAGTAAGTAACAGCATTGCCTAACTAAGTATATATTGTGGCGCCAGCTAAAAATTACTTTTTTTTTTACGCAGAGCTCTTTTTTTGATTTTGTATGCAAAAAAAGGGCTGCTCGTAATTTTTTTACGGGAGCTATTTTAGGCTTGGCGCAGAGCTGACTTTTTAAGCATAGGCAATAATTTTGATAAAAATTTTCATAACCTTGGATGCAACTGACTATATTCATTCATCCAGCATTCAGCACTCAGCACCAGTATCAAGACCCTATCAGTGTTAAGAAATCGTCACACAATTAACATTCGATTACATTTTTAAATCAGAAAATTTATTCTTACTTGAGCTAAGAAACGCATCACATTCCTATTCCAATTTCATTCACGACAGACAGACATGCACTACCACAGTTACACATAGTCAGGTAACATGACAAAGACAGGAAATCAATAATTTATAAATCATGGTAATGATGGTAAATACGTTCTTTATTTTAACTTTATTTCTTTTCATCTTTCAACGTTTCTTTTTACATCGACTGAGCAAGTTCAGAACTTCAGAGAGAGTTTTTTAGTTACTAGTTGAGTATGTTAAAAAAAGTACTGGAATCTCTAGGAATGCCGGGAAGCTTTCTGGGCAAGGTTTTATCTTTCGCTTTTCTCCTCCCAGTCGACGA